AGTTTCAGTGGCAGCAGCTGAATCTGGAGCCAGTTCCGACTTACATACAAATTCAACTTAAGAACAAACCTATAGTCCCTATCTTGTACGTAACCCGGGGACTGCCTGTACTGCTTAAAAGCATTATAGCATCTCAGAGCTAATGTGAGTAATTACCTTACAAACAGAAGTCACTTAGATAAGCCTTATCAATAGATAAAACTGGGTACAAAGTTCTTTTTTTAAGCAGTGATTACTCCAGCTGAAACTTGTGAATAATGACCTCAGTTTTTGTTCATTCAAGAAGTCTTTAGTTTTAAATAGTATTTTTATTATTATAGTCTTGTTAAGACTTAGTGCTTGCCCTATATTCAGTGGCTTATACCTTAGCTCAAAAAATGGAGGGAAGAAAAGTAGGAGAAAATCAGCCTACTTGGAAAAAACCCAGAACGCCTGCTTCTATGTGCTTTATCACCAGACATGCTCTCATTATGCTGAAATTTCGTCTTCCTCTTTTCTGCTTTCCTTCTCTCTCTCAGATCTCTCTATCCCCAGACTAGTACTTTGCCCTAACAATTTTTTAGTCAAGAATAGTATTTTGGTCATCATAGATATTCAAAATCTGAACTGAATGGGTACATTAATCTCCCCTTTCGTTAGGTAATAAAACTGTAGTTACACATGTTAAGGAAACCGAGGAAGCTTGAAAAATTAATGACTAATTGCTCAAGAAAGGGACTTAGCCTTCTTCAAGAGACAGGAGCAGCACTGACACAGGAGGGGCTGTTGAGAGGAACTGGGGTGTGAAGTAAGTGGGAGAGTGGGAAGCTGAGATAGAAGTTGTCTGTCTGGACATGTGTTGGAGTTTTGAAAATAATAGCCAAGCAAATCATGCAGTCAAGTAAATACTTGTGGTTACTGAGAAGTTATGCAAAGCAGCTCCCATCAGCTAGCCAGCCTGCAGGTACTTGTGTAACTGAGAAATAACTGCAGTCATCAACCAGAAGCTGTACATTATTTCTCTGCTAGGGCTGAAACAGTGCTGATATTGCCAAAAATCACTTCTTGGAAATCATGAGAGTGTAAGAAAAATAAATGTTGGGTTCTTTTTGTCGTCAGATTTTTAAACCTGCAGGATTCATGTTTTCACATTCTTCTCCATAACCATGAGGACCAGAATCTTTTTTTAATGAAAATTCAGATTCTCATGGAGTTACATGACTCAAGGAGCTGAGGGCTTGAGAAAACATCCTGAATATCTTGAGATTTACAATAAAATCTCAAAAGTTTGCAACTCTGCAATTCCCATGCAGAATAATAGAGCTGTAAGCAAAAGTGAATACCAGTGTTAGAAGTATTCTGCCTTTGTGCCAGAAAGGTGCAGCTGTTTTTACCTGGCTAATAATGCCTTTTCACCCCAATACACAACTGAACACCACACAAATAGATAAATCTTTCTTCTCCCCATTATTCCTGATTTGATATTGTTGGCTGGGTTTTGGTGTCACATGATTGCTAAGCAGGAGAGCCCTGTTGAAAAAGACTTAAACAAAAAGTCCAATAATTCAGTATTTTCCAGACTTGTTTAGTGCTATGGTGTGAAGCAAGAATGTGTTTCATGCATTTTTATATAGTTCTGCCAGAAGTTTCACAGAGAAGCTGTGAAGAACCAGCTATTGATGATGACAGTGAGGATCATTGTGTAACCCCTCCAGTTCACTGATCCAGTATGAGTTTGTTCAAGATAGGGGAAGTCTGCCTTGCAACTTTTTACACAACTTTGGGAGACTGGACTTGAGGTTCCTTTCTGTTCTCTGTATTGTGTGCCACAGACCCACTTGGACCACCATGAACAGGCTTTATTTTGTAAAGAACATAAAACAGAATTGTAGCTCAGTAGACGTCTGCCTCTCTGCTTGCAGCCTCCGTGCTCTCAGCTCAGTTGGTGCTGAGACCCTGGGGGAAAGAGGGTACATTCTGGGAGAAACCAGGAAGTTCTACCAACATGCCACAGTTTGTACACCACAACTTGTGGTTCCCAAGACTGCTGTTGAAACAAACGTACAATTGCTTCAGCCATCTTCTCCACTTCACGTCTGCCCTCCTTGCACTGCCCTTCCCCATCACTTCCCAGTTATCTTTGTTTTGTTCTTAGCAGGGTTCAGACATCCTCCTTAGCTAAAAGTACCAATAATCAACCTACAATCTAAAGGGAGATTTTAAGCACCTTTGAACTGCAGTCTGATGCTTTTGGTCTTTCTTTTTTTACATAGTAGCTGTAGTAAGCCAGGCAACACTGGAACTGGAACAGAACCAGTCAAAAAAGGTGGAGGAGCACAAGTCCATCATACTGGCTTTTAATGTCCTTAATCTGCTAATTGAAGCCATTGCCAAAGGAAGGGTGCAGAGTGAACACTAGAAATAAATAAAAACACAGAGCTTTGAGCCAGGACCACAATTGTTGGTCTGACTCTTATCAGATGGTCAGTTTCCCGTGTTAACGTTCTGTTACTATGACTTCCTCTTTTAGGATTCACCTCTGTTTGATCTTATCAAGCAGTCCAAGGATCGAGAAGGTCAAGCTGATCAACCTGAGCCCACATGTACTCTTAATTTGCCTCTTCAGCATAATCACACTGCTGCAGATCTGTAAGTACAGTGCATGCTTGAAGTTTAGTGTTATGTGGAGTTAATTTCTTCCACAATATTTTATTACCATTTGTTTGTATACTGCATTTTTCCTAGTTAGACTTGATACTAAAGTTATGTTGACTTGTGCTTTACATTTGCTGGAACTCATAGTAAAGACAGGCCATCCTCAACCAAACTTTATCTTTTCTCAAACCCCATTGACTCTGGGGAGACTCAGGGTGCTTTCAGCCCTCATAAACTATTGCCCTGATAGGACAAAAGTGTCTTCAAGTTCTAATGCACTAACTTCTGCAGAGGGCTCCATCTCCTGCATTACATCTACCTCTTATTGGCTCCATCAGCAGTGCCATTTACATGCGATTCCGATGATTCTCAGTCTGAGAGCTCCGATGTTCAGCACAATCCACTGCTTCTGTTCTGGAAATATGACTACCAGAGAGTTCCAGTGGCTTCATGGCAATTTCCTCCTTTGCCTCACCCAGGAAGCGCTCATCAGTGCTTTCCATCCTCTAGTGGAAGGGCATTACAATTTTTCATAGCATTGTAGGACTACGGGGGGCCTTGAAAGGTCATCTAGTCCAGTCCTCCATACTCACTGCAGGATTAAGTATTATGTAGACCATCCCTGACAAGTGGTTATCTAATCTGCTCTTAAAAATCTCCAATGGTGGTATAATGGGCTGAGGTCACTCCTTGGGGGTGATTCCCAGAGTGCTGACAAAGCTACTGACACTCACCTTCCTGCTCTCTAGGGCTCCTCATCATCCCTTATTCTGCTGGCCAGCTCCCTGGTCTCCCTCAGCCCAGGCACAAAGCTGAGATCTATGCCCCCCCCCAAAAAAAAAGCAATACAGACACTGAAGCTCTTCACATCCAAGGAAAATGCAGTTTAGGGCCCAGCTGCCTGGGATACCACTCCGCAAATGGGATCAGAACCCCAAATGAATTATTTAGGTAAGCCCCCTTTAACAATGAAAGGGGAAATGTACACACTGATTGCCCCTCCCATAACAGTTATTTACATTGGGCTTGGTAGTAAATAAAAGTGATTTTATTAAGTATAAGCAGTAGGATTTAAGTGATAACTGAGAACAGTCAGAGCAAAGTAGTTGAGACTTAAAATAACAGAAAATGCTTAGCTAATTCTACACTAAAATCTCAGTACAAACTTACTACAGACTCACCCTAAAACTGTTTCTTTTCCAGCTAAGCCTTCCAAACCAGGGGTGTTCCTCACCCTGGGTCTTTGGTTCCTTCCCTTGGGTATGTCCAGCCAGCCCAAAGACAAAACTTGCTAGCTTCCTGTTGTATTTAAAAATTCCCTTTGGGCAGGAATTCTGTTTCTACATTCTACCCTTCTTGTTGGGGTAGACCTGTGATTTCCTCAGCCCCAACCACTGCTAAGACTTAAGGACAAAAGGATACTTGCATATGATTGTCCAGACATGGGAAATACCCTGGATGGCTTTCCATTTACACATGTAAAATCATAAAGCATTCCATACTCCATATGTCTAACTTTACACACAAGAATGATCATACACCAAAATAAGATATACTGATCCAGCAGATTAAGACATTAAGATTGATGGGTTGCATGGAGCAATTTATCCAAAGCATATATATTTGTATCCAAAAGTCCATTTAATAAAGCATGGGTGGGGAGTCTGTCACAAGTGGAGATTCCACAACCTCTTCCAGTGCTTAGCTACCCAGACAGTTGAGTTTTTCCTGATGTCCAACCTAAACTTCCTTTACTGCAATTTAAGCCCAGTGCTTCTTGCTCTATCCTCAGAGGAAAAGGAGAACAATTTTTCCTCTCCTCTTCATAACTACCTTTTATGTACTCGTAAACTGTTATCATACCCCCTCTTTTTGTCAGAGGTCATGTTTTCTGGACCTTTAATAATTTTTGTTGCTCTTTTCTGCACTTTTTCAAATCTGTCCACATCTTTCTCAAATGAGGTGCTGAGAAAAGGACACAATACTCCAGTTGAGGTCTAATCAGCATGGAATAAAGTAGAAGAATTATTTCTTCAACTGCTGTCCCTGTGGATGCTCCACTTCAGGTGCTAATGTGTCCTCCCGTTGACTATTGGAGACCTTTTCTTTCAGTGCCCTGCCACACCACACATGCACAGTGATGCTCTGTTATTTTGTTGGTGTCCGTTGACTGTGCATGCAATGTGACCCTTCAGTTCTTTCTCTAACATACTCGGCAGCAGATGGCACTCTTCGCAGTCACTCTTCTTTTGACCTGAAATGACAAAATAGTTTTACCTCAGTTTTCCCCAGTCTGATCCTGCTGTCCTTCCTGGCATTAGGCTCCAGGGCTCTGTGGTCCACAGATATTGCTGAACCACAGAGTACTGGTTTTCAGAGGTGCAATCTGTTTTAGGAATGACTGTTTCAATGGAGGCTTTTCCCTTCTAGCAAGAGGAATGGAAAAGCATGTATGTGGATTTTGTGTATATATCTTTTCTTCATTTATTTTCTGTTTTGAAGTGTCATTCTTTTATTTCAGTATTTTTATTTGTACATGCAGATATCTTTCTCCTGTGAGATCTCCTAAGAAGAAAGGATCCACAGTTTCCTTAAATCCCACTCCTGTTATAGATGCTCAGCCTGTTTTGGGAATCCAAACTCAGAAACCACAGAAATCTACCTCCCTTTCACTATTTTACAAAAAAGGTTTGTTGATCATGTTAACAAGAGAGAGCTATGTAGAACACGTATATGTAGAAACTGCAGACTAACCTTTTATCATTTACTCCTTATTTTTATGGAAGTCAAAACCTCTCAAAAATATATCAAGAAACTGTAATAAACACACTGTACAAACTATCAATTTTCATTAAGAAAATCATTAAGGCACCCTGAACAAGTTTGGTATTAGATAAGTCTTAGTACATATAATGTAATCTAAAAGTAAAATTAATTTATAAGCAGACAGACTTGTGCAGTCTCACGTCAATTCAGGCTTGAAGCTATTGTAATATGATGATTGCAAAATTTAATCTAATTAAATGTAATTACCAGAATGTTAATTTTTATAAAAAATTCATATAAATCAAGGAAATATTGGCACAACATCATCATGTTCTGTACAGACCCATACTAATCTCCTGAAACAAAATAAGCAAGCTAAGATAAGAAAATCCCACCCCTCTTAATGAAATAACCTTGTCTACCAAGTCAAATTTGTTATGAATTTGCAATGGCCATGAATAATGCCAATGCATTGAAACCTTCAGTGTAGCATTAATACAATAACAGATTGCAAATTGAATTCGCTTCACCAAATGTCTTCTGGCATATGGCTTCTGACATCATAGGTCATTACTAAATACTAAATCTGAGACTTCCTATGCTAAAAGCATGAACCATTCCTACTTGAGTAAAAAGAGAAACTCTACCCATTAGGAGAAGCCTTTCTCTGATGCAGAAATTAAAGGCAGCCACTCTGAACAGTGGCCTATACAAGTTTCTGTATTACCAATGTGATTAATTTTCTTCTCTTCTTTCAAGTATATCGACTGGCATATCTTCGATTAAATACTCTATGCTTTCGGCTTCTGTCTGATCATCTTGAACTAGAACACTTGATCTGGACCCTTTTCCAGCACACATTGCAAAATGAGTATGAACTTATGAGAGACAGGCACTTAGACCAGGTAATATAAAACATTGAGAAATTCCAGACTCTCTTATTATTCCTTCTCTTTAAATGTTGCTTTTCAATTTAATTGTTAAATTCTAGTATGAGGTTTTTATTTCCCAAAGAGGCATATTATTTAAAGCAGAATTTAGTTTAATATAATGAACTGATATATTTAAGTAGTCCTTGATTTATCTTTAAATACTGAAAGTTATTTATGTTGTAATAGCCAAGACATAGATAGCATGCACCATTTTTTTAAAGGCCTTTGACTAGTAGAAAGTAAAGGCTGAAGTTTACTTGTAAATACATTAATTTTGCCTATGGAAAACCATGTTAACTGATCCACGTTTTTTGTGTCTACCCTAAAATTTCAGCTTCCCACTATATCTAACTGTGAACTTGAAAAATTACCTTTTTTGTTTAGTTAACTTTTTTGCAAAAAGAAGGGGACATTTGTTTGCCCTTTTTGTTTTTTTCTCCAAGGATTGGGATGGGATGGAGTGTCGTGCAGATAATTGATTTAGCTCAGTATAGGAAACATAGAGCTACTGATATTCTCCTTCATTTCCTAGTAACCATGGTTAAAATCCTGACTTCACTGAAGTCAATGGCAAAACTCTCATTGATCCCCATGGGGCCGGCTTGCACCCATGTCAACAGAAAAACATGTAAGAACGTAGAATATAGGGGTAGAGGGGAAGGTTCTTTCTTAATCTAAAATGTAACATTTGTTGCATTTCTGATGCTTCTTGTTGTTTCTTTAATAGATCATGATGTGTTCCATGTATGGCATATGCAAAGTAAAAAACATAGATCTTAGGTTTAAAATCATTGTTACAGCCTACAAAGAGCTCACCAATACAAATCAAGAGGTATGTCAAATCTTTTAGTAGTAGTCATCCATGAAAATGGTAATAATGTTGGTCATCTTAAAGTCAGGTGGAATTTCTTTGCAGGTCTAGATTTTATTGAGGAGTTGACAAAGTTTGTGCAGGAGCATTGTTCTACCAGCTTTTAATAACCTTATCTGAGATGCTGTCCAGGTCTTGTGCCTTGTGAATTTTTGTTTGGGTGATAGCATGCTGACTTCCTCAGAAGATGGGAGGATCAGCAAGGTATTCCATTACTGAGCATTGTGTAATAGACATAATAATGTCTTCAGAGACCATGGGATTTGCGGTTTAGAAGACTTGTATAATGTTCCTTCCAGTGTGGTTTAATTACTACATTGTCCTTGAGGAGGGTGAAGCCAGGGGTTGGACCTTTCAAGATTGACTCATATATAGCTTTTGTGCTAGCAAGAAGTTTCTCATGTCATCCTAGTCTACAACTCTGGATCTCAGAAGCCTTCTCTTCCCATCATTTACTTTTGATGTCATGTAGCCTCCATTGGGCTTTGGCTCGGAGCAGATGATAAGCTTCGTGTTTTTGTTGGTTAGTGGAACCATTTTTTCAGTTTCAGAGTGTGGTTCTTTTTGTTGAATTAATGCTAAGATTTCCTCATTTTTGTCAAACTGTTCTTGGTGCCAATGTGTGGAATATTCTATAGTTTCAGCACATACACAGTAAATGGTAAATTTAAGTTGATCCCAGTGCTCTTGTGTTTCAATGATGTTATCAGACAAGCCAGAGAGTTTGAGACAGAAGTTGCTGGAACATCTTACAGCTGGCTTGGTCTTGAAGTTCTTTACAGTTGTACCACTTTCGTTTAGTCTTTAGGTGTTTGCACCATGTGGAATGAGCCGTGGGTACATGATTGATTTTACTAATCAATGGTCTGTCCAACAGTGAGCTATACCTCTTGTGGCTTGTGTTATATAGACATCAGTGTAATCTTGGGATCCAACTATAACACAGTTAAGGAGATGATAGTGTTTGGACCGAGGATGTTTCCAGGTGGTCTCAAATGTTTACTGTGCCTAACGATGGTATTTTTGACGAGCATGTTATGCTACATACATTTTCTGAGGAGGAGAATAGCATTGGGGTTTAGATTTCCCATCCCTTCTGGTTTTGTATTTATAATACGCATGCACATGAGAGTCTACATAAGGATGCATGAGCTAACTTAATTCAAGCTTATCCTACCTTTTTAAATTAAGACTCGACAGTCTTTTAATTTTAGTTCATAATGATAAGTACCTGTAATGACACAAACAGCTGAAGTGGTTTGTCCAGGTTAATAGTCTGCAGTGACACTGATTAGAACTCAGAGCCTTCTCTTGTACACTAGCCACTAATTATATTGTGACTCAAAAGCAAACATTTGCCTAAATTAACTGATATTATCTGCTATCATTTGACAGCACTAATGCAAGTATGGTAATTGGGGAGTTTTTGTTACTAAAGAGTGAACTATTTTTGCATTATTTTTATTTGTTTATTGACCATATTTGGTCATCTTACTTCTGTGGTTGCAGTGGCACAGGCAGTGGCACGCATCTACAAAAGGCTAGCCATCCTGAGTACAAATGCATTGGTATGTACTAAGGGCAGCTATCCTGCACTGCCTTTACTCACCCCTGCCTGTGTTACTATGGCTACACTACTGCTGTTAGCATGCTAACTTGAGGAGCACTAGTGTGAGTGTGTGTTTGCACCCGGGCTCCAAGTAAAGACAAAAACTAAATTTTTGCATTCATGTAAGTAAATTGGTAGAAATACCAATTCTCAAGTAAATTATGATTGTGAATACAGTTCTCCTGACATAAACATACTAAAATTGGTATAATTATGGGGTGGCACCAATATAATTAAGTCAGTTTTTCTATTGATTGACACACAACACACAAACATCCTTAAATATTAGCCAAAGCTGATTTAAATAAATGGCATGCTGTGGGAATTGAACTGAAATTTAAGATTATTTTTAATATATAATTTTAAACCCTTTTTAGACTTTCAAACGAGTGTTGATCAGGGAAGGACAGTATGACTCCATTATAGTCTTCTACAACTTAGTGTTTATGCAGAAATTGAAAACTAACATTTTGCAATATGCCTCCAATAGGGTAAGTTGTTGATTTCCTGTACACTTGTGCTGAAAGTTAATCTTTTAACTGACTTTGAAATATTATAATGTAATTATTAAATATGCTGCTTACTTTTTTGTCATAGCCTCCCACCTTGTCACCCATCCCCCACATTCCTCGAAGTCCTTATAAGTTTTCTAATTCTCCTCTACGTGTTCCTGCTGGAAATAACATCTATATCTCACCCTTGAAGAGTCCATACAAATTCTCTGAAGGACTGATGTCACCCACAAAGATGACTCCCAGATCAAGGTTGGTAATAATTCTCTGAGTACTTCTCTCAGGTTAGAGTAAGAAATAAGTATTTAGTTGAAGCAAATTAGGAAATTATACACTGTGATTTTGCTAGACCTCAATGGCTATAGCTCTCTTTTGGTTTAAAGTTTGAGCCCTGTTTTAAAACTCGTACATAGAATGAGGCCTTATGTACTTTAGGTGGTAACCAATCCATTAGAAAATGGATTTGATATGAAATAGAAAATTCTCTTCTTAGAGGTGCCTCACTTGATTTGTATTATATTATCACTGTCTATAGTATAATATTCATGTCAAATGTGAATTACTTGAGTGCAACCAGCATGACTCACAGGACTAGTACTGGGTCATCAGTGTAGCTTTGTACTACCAGATTATGATATAGCCACAGATGGTAGCAATTGATCATCATTTGTTGCCAGTCTCTGTCTGTGTTTGGCCTATGCAAAATAAGTGTATTGTCTAATCTAGTTCCTAGTGAACACCATAACAACAGACCCCCTTGTGAGCACGCTCAGCACAGAGGTCAAGGATTGAATGAGCATGGACACTGAAAAAGTTACAAATATCATTGTATATTTTAGGTTGAACTCCTGCTATTATTTTGGTTAGCAAACATCTAAAGGTAATGATCCAAGGAAGGAAATGTCTGGGCTACCCACCTATTGAGAATGGGGTGTTTCTTAAAAAAAGCCTGGTATGGACTAAGTGGGTGTCTAATACTCTCCATTCCACAATTTCTCTTCCATGTACAGTTCAAGGTGATTCTAATTTGGTGTTTCAGCACTTTCTGGTTCTTTCAAGAATTGTAAAATTTAAGCAGAAATTGTTAAGTATGTGGTGATTGTTTTGCCCTTATTGAATGGTAGCATATTTGTAAGAGATAAGGGAGAGATATCTTTAGTTTAATATGCCAATGTCTTAGAAGGCATATGATCTCTTAAGTAGTCTTCATGCCAAATTTTGCAAGTTTGTGAGTGTTTCTGTCTTTTCACTGATAAATAAGGCTTAATCTGTCTTAAACTTCTTGTGTCTTGACAGAATCCTTGTATCAATTGGTGAATCATTTGGGGTGAGTATAAATTTTTGAATGTCAAGTCTTGTGTATGTAAAAAAAAGTTGGAAGGAATGTAGTTTTCTATAACTTTTAGAACTGGTCAGTGTCTCTGGTTTAGCTGAGTGTGTTCTGGAATCTGTAAACAAGAGATTGCTGGGGCACTTACTAGCATCTCTGAAATAGCCTAAATTCATTAAAAATCTTCAATATTTTATTAGGGTAGTTTGAGAGAGTTTTAAAGAGCTCTTAAAAGACGGTAGAAATGTAGAAGTCTGAAAAATGATTTTTGTGTAGTAGTCTGGAAAATGCACATGGTTTAGCTAGGGTTTTTTTATTGTCTTCTTGTAATCCTAGACTTCTGAGAAGTTTCAGAAAATAAACCAAATGGTGGGTAGCAGTGACCGTCCGCTGAAACGCAGTGCTGAAGTAAGCACCACCCCTAAGCCACTGAAGAGACTTCGTTTTGATATAGAAGGACAGGATGAGGCAGATGGAAGGTAGGATATAGTTCTTAACTTCTCATGAAACTACATGTGCTTTTATTTCTGGAGGGCTGGCTATAACATCAGGTTTAACAAAATAACAATGGAAACAAGCCACCACCATGTAGAAGTAATGTATGTATGCAGTGTTGTAGCTGGCTTGTCAAAATTCAGTATCTTCTATAGTTTTGTTTACAAGAAAAGCTTGTCTCTCTCTCTAATAGAAGTTTATTCAATGAAAGATATTACCTCTCTTACCTAATATATTGAATAATATAAACTATTTAGTGATAGTTTCTTGAGGTTGAACCTCTAGGTCAGAAGCAAGAAATATTGAATGCTGGACTGAAACTGGATATTAAACTACTGTGTCGAGGGGTTTTAATCAAACTTAGCAAAATTGAAGACAAAATTAGCGTATCAGAAAGATAAAAGTTCTTGAATCAATTTTAGTATACAGAAAAAATGCTAGAGCTATGTTTGCATTTCACAAGAAACTAGGGAGTGACAGTACTCACATGAACTAATCAATATTGAATGCTGGACTGAAACTGGATATTAAACTACTGTGTCGAGGGGTTTTAATCAAACTTAGCAAAATTGAAGACAAAATTAGCGTATCAGAAAGATAAAAGTTCTTGAATCAATTTTAGTATACAGAAAAAATGCTAGAGCTATGTTTGCATTTCACAAGAAACTAGGGAGTGACAGTACTCACATGAACTAATCATGGTTAGTTACTTTGCTTTATTTAGACAAAAATGCTTGCTAGTTGTTTCAATGAAATGTTTTCTATCTGCAGCAAACACCTACCTGGAGAGTCCAAATTCCAGCAAAAGCTTGCAGAAATGAGTAAGTATTATCTACTGTTGTAAATGAGTAGAAATGAGAAAGTCATGGATATAAAAGATTGTTTCACTTCCTGCCAGCCTCTCCAAATAAAAACCTTGCTAAACATATACAGTAACATACATTTCAGTAAAAACTCTTTAAGAATTATTAGGTACATTTATTATTCCATCTGATCTTGAAAATATAGTTTAAAATGGAAATACAGGATAGCCATCAAGTGTCCCAACTGACCTAGAAAAACAAGTAGTCCTGTGGCACCTTAGCAACTAACAAAAATATAGATAATTATGAGCTTTCATAAGTAAAACCCATCTCATCAGATGAGTTGGAGAGGAAAAGGTCT